CACGACACACAACAACGACAACAACAAAATAGATAATAGCGCAAAAATGAAATAATAAAAATGAATAATCATCATAATAAATTTCAACATCATCATTATCATTATATGAATTACAATGACAGCGACTGCAACAACATCAACAACAAACACCGCAGCATCAATAACATCAAAAAACATCAACAGTCCCATCAAACAATAGCATAGCAATTTACTTGCCATTTTATTTTTTTCAGTTCTTTTTTTGCTGTAATAACTGAAAAATATAGACAACTCATATGAGCACTATATATATATTATATATGTATATATAGGTGTGTGTGTGTGTGTGTGTATGTATTTGTGTGTGTGTAAGCACGAATATTACAACATATACGTTAACACACACACACACACATGCATATAATTATATAATATATGCTCGCTTGTTATTGTTTATAATGTATACAGATCATATAGTTAATAATATAGTTATATATATATATACATATATATATGGAGAAAGAGATAGAGAGAAAGGGAGAGAGAGAAAGAGAGAGATGGAGAGAGAGAGGGAAAGAGAAAATATGTGGGGTACATGTATATTAGAAGTATATAACGATACGGAGAACCAGAACAATATCACTGCTATGTTTTCTAAAGACGGTGAATGAATGAAACAGACAAACAGACAGACAAACAGATAGATGGAAGAGTAATGGAGGGATGAATGAATGAATGAATGAATGAATGGAATGATAAAATGAATGAACAAACGAATGAATGAATGAAATGATAGAGCTGTTTCCAAGTGAGATAGTGTTGATTTTGTTTTTTTTTTATCACCGCAATTGTAGACGAAAATAAAATTGTTTGTAATATTATGTCGGAGTGGAAATGGTATTTAAACAATATTTACAATAAATATATAATATATAGGATAAATATTTATATAAATTGATAAACAAGTAAACAACATGCAAATAAATAAGTCGATAACTATATCAACAACATAAACAACAACAAAAACATTATTGTTCTTTTAAAAACTTCGTTACATATTATCATCATCCTCATCTAAAATGACGTCATAAATGATGATAACATCATCACCAACAACAACAGCAACGATGGCGATGATGACGACGATGATGATAGGTTTGTACTAAAAATAAAAATATCCATTAAAACCGTTAAACTTATTTATCATTATTACCATTGACTTGTTGTTGTTGTTGTCTTATCATCATCATAGCATTGATTATTAATGTTATCAGCATCATTTTCATCACTATCAATTTATCAGTTAGTGGTATTTTCAATATAATTGTTATTGTTAACGAACTTGCTGTTGTTAATGTTATTTTATTGATATTTTTTGGGTTATCAATCATTTGACAGGATTGTTAATGACAACAACATTTGGCCAAATTACATCAACAACAACAACAACAACAACAGCTATTTCTACTAATACTACCGCTACATCTTTGGTAGTTAACGATCCTGACTTGAATGATAATACAACAACATTTACAAACAACAACAACACTAAAGTTAATGCTGATGTGCTGTCATCATCAGATGATGGCGTCAACATAACAACAACAAAATTAATGCCACCAACAGCTAAAACAACAACATTAATGTCATTAACACCAGCTACAGCATCAATTAAAAACAGCCTCATCACTCCTAACCTAGCAGACGAAAATGTATTTAACACAAATTCATCCGACTATTACATTAATGCCAACAACGATAATTACATCAACATCACTGACAGCTCCAGTAACAACACTAATGATGACATCAACATTTTCAACACTACCATAGACAACAACATTAAAAACCTGCCTGACAACAATTACACTAACAACAACAACAAAACAGCAATAAACATCACAGCCGCACTGCTCTCCGGAAACTCGGCCAGCAATTATACAGAAAGCACCAACGCAACTAATGACATCAACAAAAACAACAACAACGGCGTAAATAAAAACGTCAGTGACGTCATCACTGACAACAATTACATCATTGACAACAACAACAACAACACAAACATCACAATGAATGAAAATGCATCGATCACCACACACGACTACATAAACAATTTCACTAACAACCCAAACCATGTGATTGATGACTATAACAACACTTACATCAACAACAACATCGACAAAAGCATCAACAACAACAACAACATCACCAACACTAACAACAACGTCAACACAAACACATCCGACATTCACTCAATCATTATTTCCAATATAACCGACAGCGATTATATAAACAATTATACGGATGAACATAGCATAAACAACATAAACAACAACAACAACAACATCAATAATACTCTCAATAACAACACCAACAATGACATTAACAATACTGACATCAACAATTACACTATAGTTAACAATACCAACAATTACGTTAACAATTCTATTGATAGCAACGTTTATAAGTTCAGCTTTAACTACACAATTATCAACAACACTGATAATTACATCAACACTGATAATAACAACAATGTTATCAGCGGTTTAAACAATTACATCAACAAAAGTGACATCAATAACAACACATATAACTACATTAACAACGTCAATTCAACGAATGAAAAGTTTAACATTAACGACACATTTTACGTTAATGCCATTCAAAATGCGACATTTAACATCAGCAAAGAAATACTCTATGACACTAACAGCCATACATTTAATGAATTGGACAACCAAACGTATGACAATAACAGTCAAACAGCTCATGACATCAACAATAACGCAGTTGAAGGTTACATTAACAACACACTTGATAGCATCAATAATAACACCATTGATATTAACATTGGAAATAACACGATTGTTGGCAGTTCAAACATAATAGAAGACGTTAACAGTTTAAACAACAGTTCAATACATGACATTAACACAACAGTTTATGAAAATTCCAACAAAACCATTTATCACAACAGCAGTTCAACAACCGACATCAACATAAACGTCCATCGTATCACCATCAACCCAGATGACATCAATAACAACACAGATTACATTAACAACGGCACGGATCATTCCATTTTTGTCGCTACCATAGTAAAAAACAACAACACAACAACTGCTTCCATTATAAATGCAACAGATGACATCAATGGTGGTGGCAACGATACAGCTCCTGCATACGAAGTACACAACAACACTAATGACATTATCACATTAGAAAAAATTGACAATGGCACTAATTCTCATAAAGAAGCCAACGACAGCACACAAAATGACATTAAAAACAACGTTACTGAAATTATCAACACAACAATAACATTGAATGACATTATTAATGAAACGTATGGCATTGATGACATTAACAACAACACATTGCTTTTTAACACAAACAACAACAACACGATTAATGATACAAACAACATTACACACTATGACATCAGTAGCATCAATTCAACTGACAACATTAACGAATCAACCAGTGACACGAAGGATTTTAACAACGTAACATCAACAGATTACATAAACAACATCAAT